GAGCTGAGAGCCCACGCCCCAGCTCCGTCTCTGCAGCCAGCTTCCCTGATCTGATACCTGGGAGCTCTGCCACACTCAGGCACCCCGGTCTTTCTGTGACCCCGAGGGTCCTGAGACCACACTGTCCCGCGTGGGTTCCACACCCCGCTTAGCCACTGGAGTGACGTCCCTCAGCGGAGCCGACTTCTAAAAGTTCCGATTTTGTGCTCCGCGGCTCTGTCACTTGCCAGAAGTGGTCGACGGAGGCCCTTTCCCCCGCCGTCTATCCTCCCAAATATCGCCTTGGATTCACATCTCCGCATGTCCTACCTTCCAGTAAGTGGTCGCTTCTCTGTTCAGAGAGTTGTTGCTACTCTCTTCTTCGATCTCCTGTTGAGTTTGTAGGTGTTCAGAATGGTTTCATCCCTATTCAGCTGAATTCCTGAGACCAGACGAAGTCCAGGTCTCCTACTCCTCCGTCATCTTGCTCCACTCCCTCCATCATTATCTTTTTAATTGTGATGTCTCCATGGATTATTCTAAATTTCCAAGGGATCGTATCATTTTCTACTTAGAATGGCCATTTCTCTTTTGTTCTTACCATTTTCACATGTGTTTAGTCGAATTAGTCATCACTTGGTATCTTTTGATTATTGCCTGGTAGCACCTTGACCTTCATTCCTCACTCTTCTCTTCCTGCCTCACAGATGGAAACTCTAACAAGAACACACGAGTTCTCCTCCTTCGATTCAGGTGGGAGACTGACTCCACATAAACCCTTCCCATGAACAGGTTCCCATCCCCATCACTGATCCACAGCACACCCCGTGAGCTGGTGTCCTTCCTTGGCTCCATCCAAGCAGTTATGACTTGAGGAGAGGCCTGCTCTGCTCTCAACAGACAAGGTGGTAAAGGGGATGAAAGTTTTATGTTCTCATGTTGTGTGTGTGTGTGTGTGTGTGTGTGTGTGTGTGAGTGATCAACATAATCTATATCCACACCATGTCCTGGTGGGGGTACCTCTGTTTCCCATGCTGCCACTAACATTGTTGGGAACATGGTTTAAGACAGTGAGCCCCACCAGGGATCTTTCTTCTCTGGCTTTGGATTGTTGATGCCACTGTAGCCCCATATCCAGAGTGCACTTCTTGCAAGCTTGCACAGTGAGCTGGATTCTCCTATGATACACAGTGAGTGCAGCTGGGACTCTTGAAAGGATTCAGGGGATATGCATGGAGATATTTGTAATTCATTCATATTTAGGTCCAGGAACAAGCAAGTGCAAGTGACACTGACTTTTGCGCTTGCTAGTATAGCAGTTCTTCAACTTTTTATTTATGTCAGAGAATGAAAAAGTAGCACAGAACTATGTGTTTAGAGAGGCTCCCTGGGTGAAACAGCGATAATTAGAGAGGCAGCCCCAGACCCTGGGAGGAAACCTGCCATATCATCCAGCTGCATCTGCTCCTGGGCCTTAAAGACAAAATTGTGCATAGTGTACGCCCCCTGGTGGTCCAGATCCCCTTCTACAGTGAGGTTTGTGTCTGGGCGCACACTGACGTCCCCTCACTCTGTCACTGGCACAGTAATACACGGCCGTGTCCTCGGCTCTCAGGCTGTTCATCTGCAGATAAAGCGTATTCTTGCCGTTGTCTCTGGAGATGGTGATCAGCCTTTCACAGAGTCTGCATACCTTGTGCTACTTCGATCACTGCTAATATATGCGACCCACTGCAGCCCCTTCCCTGGAGCCTGGCGGAACCAGTACATGTAGTAGCTGCTGAAGGTGAATCCAGAGGCTGCACAGGAGAGTCTCAGCGACCCCCCAGACTTCACCAGGTCTCCCCCAGACTCCACAGGCTGCACCTCACACTGGACACCTGTAGAAACAAAACATCCTGGTCAGGAAACTGTCACACAACCAGTCTTTCTCTGACTCACATACACTCGTACACTCAATGTGTCTTGTTCACCATAAATTACCTTTTAAAAGAGCAACAAGGAAAACCCAGCCAAGTGCAAACTCCATGGTGAGTTGTCTGTGTTCTCTCCTGATCACTGAATGAGAACAGCTGGGGAACCCGGGGCTGGGTCTCCTCTCCCAGCTGCAAGGGTTGGGGCTCAGCTGGTTTAATCAGCAGAGGGAGGGCCCTATTTGCACGTCCTCTGAATGTATATTCAACTTAGGATCTATGCTGACAGAGAGGGCACTGTCCAGAGCAGGTGTGACTGCCATTGATGTGGTGCTATTGATCACTTTTTAAAAAATATCATTTATATTTGATAACTTTCCAGTGTATATTCTTGGCCTCCATGTACTACATTGGTTTTACATGTAAACATAAATCTTGCAGTTTAGGTGTCATGTTCCCCCTTATGTGATGTGAACCTACACCTAGAATTGTGGACGGTTTGTGAGTTGTCCAAGAGCATTTATGGGGTGAGAGTGAGCCCCAGGATATAAGTCGGTGCTCCTTCCACAGTAATGTGCTGCATCTCTGACACTCCCCTTGGGACAGAGTGGGCAGGCTCATGAGGAAGGTGGAACCCCTCCTGTAATGGGGACAGAATGATTTTGCTTGTTCTAGAGTTTACCTGTAATACAGAGAGAATCATGATTTTGAAGGTGTAATTTCAAGTCTCTCAAATTTTACTCTCTCTGTGTTCCTCCAGAATCATCTCTGTGATTACCTGTAATAGCTCTGTTGTGTGTGCTTGTCACAGGATGAACTACACACATGCAGAGTGTGGGATATGATAAACACTGGTGTCAAAATCAATATTATCAATAGTGAACACATCAATTCTCCCTACCTCTAATTTTGTAGAATTCATAAATAGATAATTGTATCATATGTACTATTTAGTAGGGCTTCCTTGGCTCAGCATGAATCCTTACACATACAGCCACGTTGCTGTATCAGGAATCATTGGTTTAATGACCGGCAGCTCTGAAGGCACAGGCTTGGAAGCAGCAGCCAGAGGAAGATCTGAAGCAGCAGAAAGAAACCCCTTGTTTCAAGGCTCATCCACACACCCTCCTCTCCCAGGAGCTCTTGGTCCCAGAAGGAGATTCAATCCCTTGCTGTTTGGTAACATGATCTGCTGGCTGTGGAGAAGAGAACCAAGGGGAGGAGCAGGTGGACAGGAGACTGTTGAGGTAGAGGCTCTGAAAGTCCAGGCGATGGAAGAGGCCAGGAACTGGGATGAAGAGCAGAGAGGGAGGAACTGGCCAGGTCGCAGAAGAAACCTCTGCACAAGAAAATTCAAGACTCAGGCACCAGGGTGTGGAAGTTACAACAAGTGTTCATCCTCTGACTGTGCCCCTATGTCCCATGTTCTCCACTAGATTCCACTGCTAACCTCAGGTGTGAGCTGCAGGCACCACCTGGGCACAGGAGCTGCTCTTTGCTTCAAACCAGGAGGCTTCTCTCTTTGTCACCAGGGCATGGACCGGATGCATTTCTGGAGCCACACCTCCCCACACCCCACAGAGCTTACCTGACACGTATGGACTCTCCTTTTGTAGAGAACTGTTTTCCTACAATACTGAGGCTCATAAGGAGGCTCCACACACGTGTGTCTCCTACTGACTTCAAGTACTTATTTACTTTGAGCCATCGTGGACCTTGACTGTGGGTTTTAACTCTGACTAGAATGTAAAGTCTCTGTATCAGGAGAGTTCGAATCTATTGCCCCTCTGTCCCCCTCCCAGTTTTCTATGTTAATCAGAAAATAAGGACCATCAACCACTAAGTTAGGATGTACATCTTGTCTTTCCTGAGGAATAATATTGTGTATCAGATTCTGTCCTCTTTGTACTAATTAAATTTATAGCAAAGGAGTCAGGCACTCCAATGGGGATGCATCAGGAACTGTACAAGCAGGAAGAACACTGTGTGGACCCACAGTGAGCCTCCCAGCAGCCATGTCCTGCTTTGGGGCAGAGGTGTTGTGAAGACAATTTCTTCCCTTGTAAGTGCTGATGGTAAAAGGGAATACTGTGCATTATATGCATGTGTCAGTCCTCCCATAACCTGGAGTGGATGTCAGATATTTGATTCCCCTCCCTGATTATGTCTCATGATGTTTTTAAGTCTCTTAGCCACTTTGTAGCTCACTTCGTATTGGGGAAAATGGTGAATTTGAGAGGAGGAGTGTCCAGGAACTCCGGAAAGCACAGTTTCTGTCCTTAGAGGAACATGTGCTACAAGCGATTTCTTTCCATCCCTGTTTTGTTAGCTTCCTCCTAGGATCCATTGTGCCTTTTTCACTAAATGTGCTTTGTTCTCATCTGCAAAACGTCCTCATAAGACTTGGTTTAGCTCAAGGAAAATCTTTCTCATAAGTCCTTCCTTGACCACCTGGCCTCCTCAGATAAGGATCATGACTCACTTCTCTGTAGCTCCCAAATGCTCCCTGTGTGCATTTCCCTCAGAACAGGTACACCACCGAGGTACTTGCACTTGTTCACCAGCTAATAGAGGCAGGGACGCCTCCAATTTTCTTAGTCCCCGAATACAACAGTTATCTTCATCACCTTTGTACCTTGCATCACTGGTACGGAATTCAGTCAGTCCCTGCTGAATAGCGTTTTTCCTGTAGACTTGACATGACTTTTGAACTCTACTGTACTCATCCCCTGCTCCTGTGCATGGGGATATAACAGCATCCATATTCTGCTCAGGTCAGTACTAGGCACCTTGTAAGTTAGTAACCCTATCGTACATTCTTTCCACTAGTTCATTCAGGGAACCTTGTGAACAGGCCATTGTAGAGTCAGTGATGATGACAAAGCAAAGCATGATTTCCAGAGCCCTGAGCCTCCTGAAGTCCCACAAACAGATGCAAAATTCAGTTCCTTTATTCCTTTCCC